ATACTCGTACTTGTACGAACTGTAATCACCAACGATCTATTGTAATTCTTGAAAATTAGTTTGCTTGTACGCACGTTATAAAAAATAGGATACCTACACCCTTTTTAGAAAATCCCACATATACTTGCGAAAAGTTAAACTAAAGGCGTGATGCGTACAAGAGTGTAAAACTTATAATGTAACGAAGAAGCAATAAAGATGGAAGTAAATCACTTGTTAGTAACGTTAATGTTGCCAACATTACAAAAATCCTCTGATTTCTAAGTATCGTATATATAATTGCTACTATAAAACATTGATTTATTGTGCAGTTGGACTTGCCAATAAACGCAATGCTTGTGTTAAGATAAACATGTAACCGTCAACTATAAAGTATAGAAATGGCTATAGTTAAAAAAACACATTACGGAAGACCTTTTCGACCACGCAAATTCGAACCCCAACGCTTCTGTAATCGGTACGTTTAATTTAAATGTATACATTTTTCCACTGCTTCAACATGTTTTGTGCACCTATAAATTTGACCAGGTGCATTTTTCTTAATTTCAATTAGGTTTAAATATTTAACCGTACAAGCGTTTGCTGTAATGAATCTTTTAGTAGTATCTAGTCAAAAGTCGTTTGAGGAACAAGCAGGTGGACAGAGGAACAAGGATCCTGTCCATAATAACTACTTTTCCGATTGTTTAGGAAAATCCGAGAGTTTAACATGTAAGTACTTACACCGGGTGACCCAATAAGACTGTTCCTCGGCCATATCTGGGGAACCGTTCGTCGTATGACTTTGGGGAGAATCGCTGGAAAATATTTTCAAGTTCTAAAAATGACCACCAGAGGGCGTAACTGCCATCTTAAATTTTAAAATTGCATTTTCTTTAAATTTCGCACAATAAACTAAGCTTTCTTTTTTCATATTTTTAAAGACAACCAGTTTATCTATCATTTTCGTAAAAACAAAAACTCACTTATTTCAAAAACAAAGATGGTGTTCAATTATTTTTGCAATAACCTGCTTTAACTTCTTAACCGTTTGACCGATCGTAACAAATTTGGTATCGTTGAATAGAGCATTCCTTGGGCAATAAGAATCAACCAAAATATAGTTAATTTAGTTGAATCCTTCTCCGCCAGTTTTGACACTATGATCCAAAATCCTAAAAAATCAAAAAAATCAAATGGAATGATATGACTTTTTCTTTATGAAAAAGTAGCCAAATAACATCCAAAAAGGCTAGTGAAAACCGTTTTTCAAAATATCGTTTCTAACCTCAATTATTGGGAAAATGAGAATTATTTAATTAATTAATTAAAATGGCTAAATTGTATCTTATTTAACGTATTTCCGGTATTTGTCGATGACGCGAAAGATTGTTTGGAAAAGGACCCTACACTTTTAGGTAGGCCTTGGAAAATTAAACAAATGAAACACGATGCATAATAAGTAATTTGTAAATTATTCTGCTGTGTTTACATTCAGGAAGTGCAGTTTTTTGAATTTGTAATCTTTTCTAAAATGCGGATTTTTAATCAAGAAGCATTTAATATGATGGCGGCGATGGTTCGTGGTCTATTCGGATAACGCAATTAGAACATGGGGGCAGTGATGGTCGCATTTTGAAAATACTCAAAATATATCGCCAGCATGTTAAATGTTTCTTGGTTAGACATCGGCATTTTAGAAAAGATTACAAATTCAAAAAACTGCACTTTCTGATGTAAACACAGCAGAATAATTTACAAATTACGGCTGTTATTATTTTATAATGCATCGTGTTTCATTTGTTTAAATTTCCAAGGCCTACCTAAAAGTGTAGGGTGCTTTTCTTTTAATGATATTTTCCGAAGAAAATCAAGTGTAAATGTCGATTTTGAAACTTCTTGGGCAAAATGCGCGTGGTCATTAAAAATGTGGTATTCGCTTCTTGGATATCAAGCTAAATCGTTTCTACCTTTTCCCAACGAAATCGGCGCATAAATAACAACTTTGGCTAAAATACTTAATCAATACCAGAAATCAATATCTCTGCATACCCAATTTTCTTGACATACATCTCCTTTTCATCCTGTACACTTTGAAAGGGTTTGTGGATATGCTTCTTAGCTTCAGAAATTAGGTAGCGATTTCCAAAGACGACTCGACAGCAACTTATTTTTGATGGCTCGTTATTACATTACATATTATACAGGGGATTTTTCTTATATGTATACATATATAACTCTCGCCAGGAAAGATTGCCGGTTACAGCACACCTTGTGTCGATTTACAATCTTTGTTTTTATTAAGATGCGAGCGACTTCTGGAATAGGATCGTGCTAATGTTGAACAAAAAGTATTTTCGTTCAACATTGACACGATACTATCTCGGAAGTCGCTAGCACCTAACGAAAAACAGAGATTGTAGATCGGGATCAAGTGTTCTGTGACCGGCAATCTTTCCTGGCGAGAGTTATAGGTTATGTATACTTTAAAAAATTCCAGAACGAAAAGAGAAATCGATGTCAAACCTTCGCTAATCGATTTCTACCAGTTCAAGGATCAGTGCTATGGAATATGAGTCGGATTTAAAAGTCGTGTTTCCGAATGCGAGCTGAGTGTCAAAAAATTCCCCTACTGAAAATCGTATGCCATGGAAATCCTTTTTACTTTCATACAACCACCCGTAATATTTCACTCAACTTAAATACAAAAAAGGGTTGCACGCTGCTTTAAATCGGGTATTTTTAGCGCATTTTCCAACTTGGAAGGCGCTATTATGGCCACTTCATCTGTCCGTCCGTCCGAGGCCTACTACTACTCTTGCAGTTTTCAAGATATTTAGTTCGTTCTTTTTGCATTCGGTAGCTTATAGCTCTGGCACCTCAGCCAAGAAAAATCTTCTGCGCAAACTGCCAAACTGAGCAATGTCATCTTTCTAATGTATGGAGACATAGTTTTTGAAATTTACAGATGCTTCTAGTAAAGACAAGCATACCGCATATTGTATAAATCAGATGTGCGCATGCACAATGTCAACATTTTAACCAACGATTCTTCTTGTACTCAGGCAAATATATCGCTTATTATCATTTAGGTGTGCGCAGGCGCAGACTGCGCAATGCTAAGTTTCTTATTTATAAGAATATTTGCCATAACTTATTTTCCTTTGTACACATAAATAGAACGTTACATGACCTGTCGGAAAGTATTGATCAATTCATGGAAAAAGCGAAAGGCGAAAACCTTTTTTTCTTTTTTACAATCCCCCGGCGCGAAAAACGGAGCAAGAGGGTATTCGCCACTTGTTGTTAGGCGTGCGAAGAAAAATACGGGATTTCATCCATGAGTGGTTGGTCATCAATGATTTACCAATTTTTACAACAATTTGAAACCCCCCGACATAGTCGGCCGTTGGTATGAGCGGGATAGCTTACGTTTTATAGGAAACAATACCCAGTGGCGGATTTAAATTTTTTGCGCCCCTAGGCACAGCGAAAGATATACGCTCCAAAATAATCTTTAAATTGCAAATATTTTAAAATAAAAATCAAATTATAGCATGAAATCTTTAAAACTAAATATGAATCTAGCTACCAATTCCAATTTATTTCATAATTTTAATTAAACATTTTTGTCATTTGTAACTTGTTAGGGAACTATTTTAAAACTTAAAATGTTACCTAAAATAAATGTAGTGCAAAAAATGCCGCCCCCTAAAGCTGCCGCCCCTAAGCACGTGCTTAGTGTGCGTATACAGGGTGATTCCTATAGTACCTGCCACCGTTTGGGAGCGTGTAGGTGGTGCGTAGGGGAGTATTTTGATATAGGACACTTGGGGTCGGAAATCTAAAATAAGGGTGCCAGAGCCAAATTTACCTTCTGGAATTTCGCGCCTGTAGGTAGGCAACCCAACCGGCCGGCGGTGCACACGGAGCGATCTCAGGCGGCGATGTGTGGCTGACACTTGATCAGAATTTTGTTTAAACCCACGAAATCCCGTCTGCAACGACGCGTATCAAGTGAATAAACACTATGGCAATAGTATAATAATAGTTGGCTAGATGTAGGAAGTGCATTGAGAACAACGGGGCCACGTTGAACACTTGTAAACGTTATTGCTTTTGACTGTCGTTTTCCCTCCTTCCCTCCCATGTCGCTTCCTCGCGCTAACTCGCTCTGCATCGCTCCGCGCGAAACGTCGGTCGGTTGGGTTGCCTACATACAGGCGTGAAATTCCAGAAGATAAATTTGGTTCTGGCGCCCTTATTTTAGATTTCCGACCCCAAGTGTCCTATATCAAAATACTCCCCTAGGCACCCCCTATACGCTCCCAAACGGTGGCAGGTACTATAGGAATCAGCCTGTATGTAAATCCGCCACTGAAAATACCTACCGTTTTCAATTTAATAACTTTGGATACTGACTATCTTTTGTGTTGTCTAAAGTTATGTAACATATGTATATGAAAATCAATTAGGTATTTATTTGTTTATTTGTTTAGCCAGATACCATACAGAATACAATTATTCCAATTACATGGCACTGGGATGCTGTACTTAAAACTAAAACTACTAAAACTTTAAATATAAGTAAAGTTCATTAATTTTTTCGGAGCTGTAAAACGTCTGTACGAAGTTGTGGTAATGAACATACCATGTAACTGAACATAAAGGGGATATTATAAAACTAACTTACAAAAAAATTCATATAGATGAAGAATATTAGGGGATGGTGAGGAGGGCGGCTCCATCTTCATCAGGCATGTGTACGCTGCCATTTGTGCTGGTGACTCTGATTATTGCTATGCCTATTCGAGCACGTAGCCAACCCATTACTATGGATAGGGGTCAGGTCCAGCAGTCAGCAAGTACCTCGGCTAAGTGTCGTGTAAATGACGTAAGTTGTTGGGATCTTGGGACTACTATGTAAATTCGTCCACGATTTTAAAAGCAAAAATTTGCACATAATCGTTTTTATTTTTATGTTCTTGTCTGTACACATAAAACATGTTTTTTTCATTTCTTTATGGTGCTATAACGGATTGTATCCAGTTTGCATAATTTGGAATACTAGTATACACCCCGTACGTTCCCGGTTGTCCGCATCCTTTCCCCCAAATGACCACACCTGCTAACACGTAATGGGCATTGTTTACGTAACAGACCAACGGTGAGCCTCCATCGTACTAAAAGAGTATTATGTAAATAATATTGCAGCACCTTTTTTTATTTACTGTGCATGAATCTCGCGACCCCTCTCCGCCGGCGCAAATTTCTCCGATGGGGTCCAAATACATGTTAACATTTTGGCCTAATAGCGATTGGTGGCTCATGGATTGGTAACAGGTATCGGCATCAACTATTTTAACGTGAACTTGTTTTTGCTGTGCTATAGGTGCGTCGTGTACTGTGAACGAGGATTGTCCCCATCCAGCTACTGTGCATCTATTAGGAACGTTATAGCTAATTATATTGATGAATTTTCAATGCGTACGTTTGTCCTACGAATGACATAGCTGCTGTTGGAGGGCATACTAGATTCACTAGTTGTTGAGGTAAAGGTGTTACGGCTGTTGCTAAGTGCAACACAGCTAGGTCGTTAAAGAAGTTGGTCATGTTAAAACGGGGATGTACAGTTACACGGCTGACATTTAATTTGGCCCCTAATTCTTTGGGACTATGCACACCCACGTAAACTCCAATCAAATTGGGAGTGTCTCTGAAATACTACTAAAGCTTTTAATTCTTAAAAATCGCCTTTTACCGATTTCCTGAAACTTTGTGAGCCGCAGTCAATACTGTATTTGGACTGATCAGAACACCACCTCCGCAGAAACCAGTCTGATTCGTAATATATACTGCCCATGGCCACGCTCCATGTGTGGCGACACCATCGTGTGGTTGTATAGCGGTGACGTTTCTTTTTCCACACGTGGTGGAAGTTTGTATGGGTAGACATGGCAATTCGCCGGTGGGACATGGGTTACCCTAAACATAAGCTTGATCCTTTTTCTATTCGCTTGACCTTACCCTGGTAAAAATTCGTCGATTCAAAGTTACACCGCTTTGTGCTTGGCATGTGCCCGTTGGTACACAGTTGAACCCAGGGGACGATTGTGCTCTATCAAAATGAGTTAAAACGATAAGTGCTATGAACTGATGTAGCATATTGTCTCTTTGAGAGGATTTACACAACTGACAAGTTTGTTCATTCTCTATCATCTTTTTAGCGGTTTCATTATTATGTTTTTTCGCAATTCTGTATAAATTGTTTTTTTAAGTAATTGCTTGATTTTGAAAATACAAAGCGGTGCCAAAAGTAAATAAGTTGATGAAGGTCAAAGTAAGCATTTTAGATTTCACATTTTTTTTACAGTTATAACCGAAATGGATGTATAGTTCGTCAAGGGCGATTCGCTTCAAATCACTTCCATTTGTATGGATGCACATGAAAGGTGTAGAAGCGCTTCAAAGTAGTTTTTCTGCAGTTGAGAATACGAGTATATGATATAAAGAAGCATTTCATTCTAAAACCGTTTGCTTCTTAGGGTCAGTTTTTTCATTTCGACACGATTGTATCGACAATGCAATCCATAGAATTCATTCGGAGAGTAAAGTTGTTGAGAGGTAGGAAAACCGGACCTAAATAAATAAATGATTCGGTTGCTAAGGGAAGGAATCAAAACAAAACCCTTCAGAAGCATTAACTGCTTGCATAGCTGTGGTACGTATTCCAGACAAACACAATCCCTCCTCTTGAACTCAGCAAGTGTTTAACTAGCACAATAAGAAAGTTATTCAATTCTCTCAACGTGCTAAAAAACTCCAAACTGTGACATGTTGTACAGTGCGATCAATAATGAGTTGCTGCGCCGCTTCAAGGGCACGGAAAAGTTATAGTTTGTACAAACCAATTTATTTCGATGAGACCTTTCATTAGAATACCATGAAGGGTAGAACATATGTTTACCCCCCTCCCCCTCCCATTTTCTAAAGTTTAACTTGGTACCACTAAAGGCATGCCTATGTAAAATCTGAGACCAATTGGTTGTCGTATGTAAATGCATGCACGTTTTACTTCTAAAAACAGCATCTCAGGAAATAATTCGTGGTGGGGAGGCCCCCCTTTTAGCCAGCGAAATTTGATGACCGTCTGGCACACCTTCAAGGTATAGGCTACCTACTGCAAAAAATTCCAGGACTTTAGGACCATTCCCCTAGAAGTAGTTCAAAACGGTAGAAGTGGGTCCGGACGGACGGACGGACAAAACACAAACAATAGCACATTTTTTTTAATTCTTAAAAAATGTGCTAAAAATATGGGTTTTATTCATAAAAACGGTGATAACGTTAAGTGAATTATTTAAACGTATTTGTTTTGGGAACACCAAAAAAGGGGATAATCATGCAGTTAGAATGCACTTAGGTGTTCACCGTTAAAACACTACGTCCAGAGAACGTCATTAGAAAATTCCCCGAAGGCAAGTAGTTATTGTCGCTGCAAGGAGCGTCTAATTTCAACATGTCCACCTGTAAAAGGGACGTCTTATATGAGGTACCGTTATTCCATTTATGTAAAATTACAGGGCATTAGGAAAAATCATTGTAAATTATGTTTGATTGAAGTAAAAAAAAAACTTTTTATTTGCACGTTCTTAAAGGGATCAGCCCATGGGAAATTGAAGCCGTTTTGTGCTACATGTATGCAAGGGGGCAGAGGGGGAAATTTTCAAACGAACAAATCGGACCAAATTCGAAGTTATAGAATAATCGCCGATAAAAATATTACGGCAGCCGAGTCCCATCGGGGAAATTTTGTGGAATGCACCAACGCCATTCCTCCGACGTCCTTTTCGCACCGTAGCACCCCTCCACCAACCCTCCTGGTCAAATACACGATAACTTTTCGTCGTTTCGACGTTTATTGTTAAACGACGAGGCAAAACGGTGAGGGCTAGAACGATGTGGTTTTTGACATTGGTCTCGTATTCGTAACCTCCAACTAACTCAACAAGCAACATTCCTTTCTCCCTCCTTCCCCACCTGCCAATAAACCATCTCCTAGAATTTCGGGCAACTGTACAAGGCGAGGCGACAAAGCTGAGCAATGTGTCAACGATCCTATACAAGCGTGAGACTAGGTGGCTTGGGTATGCCCCCCCCCCCCCTCCACCCTAAATCGCATGCAAGTGTACAATATTGTGGCGTTTATTTGGAAACGCCCAGGGCTAGAACAATGCGGTTCTTTAAATTGGTCTTCTATACCGCTCGGTAACGTTCTACAATCGAATTCCCTATAAATGCATGCTCTACAAATCTACTGCACAAAACGCTACATTTTTTATGGAGCAATTTGATCCAAATTGTTGTGGTAGATCCTTCGAACAAAATCAAAACTCGTACTGTGCATGCGCAATAGACAACTGATAGTGCTTATTACAGTTTTTAGGTTCGGAACAATTAAAAAGATCGGACTATACCTCACGTCGGTGATCTGTTACTTTGACGGGTGCAGGTTAGGGCTTTCGTTTCATATGTGATTTATAGTTCTAAACATATCCTTTTAAAAATATGATGTGATAAATGAGCAGAGCCATGAGCAAATTTTTTATTGGAGCGAGGCGGCGAAGTCGCCGTTGCCGAGCGTGTGTCTTATAAAGACCAAATTAAAAATTGGCGAGTACAGATGTTGGACAGGGATTTGATGTCCTTATAAGTGGATTGGATATCAATATTGTCTAAAATCGCATTGATTTTTAGAACGCTATATAGTGCACGCGGTTCAATCAAAATAAACAATCGTAAAAAACTTCATTATGAATCAGAGATAACGATTTGAATCGAAATTTTTAAAACGTCACTTTATACAAGCTGATTCAAGTTCGAGGGCCACCATGGGGATTTCTGAAACTGTAAGAGATGGGTAGGTAGTTTAAATTTGGCAAAGTTGCGCATTTTGATGCTTAACAAAATGCCGTTTTGAAACTGCACAACTTCCGAGTACTTTCGGAGATATCTTGAAAAACACGAAATTGTGCAAAATCGTTTTTATTTTTGACCGAAGTTATTTAAAAAGATATTTCGAAATAAATAACACATTATTATTGCCACTTTTTCTCTCTAACATTTTAAGTCTGACGTTTCGTCTCCGGTTAACCATCAACTTTTTTTTTCTTATGGAAATCAGTTTTACTTTTTGTGTCATTTGATAGAGCATTGTTTTTAAATTTTAAACATGTAAATATCAATTTTTAATAACGAATGGTGCTAATAATTCGTAAAAGCGCAAGAAACTACGAACATACACTACACAAGACAAAGTTTTCCAGGCAAAAAAGAACTTATTTTAACAACATTTAAAAAATACTGATGTTTACAGTTTTGAAATCAGAAAAAAATGGTCTATCAAATGACACAAAAAGTAAAAATGACTTCGATTAAAATAAAGTTAATGATAAATAAAATAAATAAAGTTGATGATGGTTAATCGGAGACGAAAAGTCAGATTTAAAATTTGCAGAGGGGAAAAGTGGCCAGTTTCAAAATCGCATTTTGTTAAAATCAAAATACATAACTTTGACAAATTTAAACTACCTACATATGTCTTAACAGTTTCCGAGATCCCCATGGTGACCATCGAATTTGTATTGTATTGTGCTAGGTGTTACATCTACAGGAAATCAACGCAAAGAAAATGCTTGTTGTCAATAAAATAACAAACATTACACTCGGTACTTCAAAAGGCAATATTTACTAAAAGTACTTTTGGCGCTATATGTGTTTTTTAAATAAATTACACTAGATGCATTAATAATACTGTACATAGTTTTGGTTCTATTGTATAACCTCAACCTGCCAAGTTGGCGATGCTATTCTGTATCCAAACTAAATAATATGGCACATTTACGTAAACACCATACACTCCGGCTTGACCGCAACCTTTTCCCCAAATCACTAGACCGGCGACTACATACGCGTTATTGACGTAACACACTAATGGCGAACCCCCGTCTTGCTAAAATTACAATGATTAATTAGTATTATACATGCAATTAAAGAGGGAACTTACAGTACACGCATCCCGTTGCGCTTCTCCTCCGGCGCATATTTCTCCAAACGGATCCAAATAGGTGTTTACGTTTGTCCCCAAAAGCGACGCGACACTCATTGACGTGTAGCAGGCATTATAGCTCACTACTGTTACGTTCACCTGCTTTTGTTGTAATAGCGGCGCATCGTTTATCACGAAGGTGGTCTGTCCCCAACCAGTCACCGTGCATCTATTTCGATTAAGAAAGTGTATTTGGTAAATCAACATTTACGGCATCTTACGATGATCCAATGAAGCTTTGTCCAGAAGTCGGTAAACATGCCGTGTTGATTAATTGTTGTGGCAGTGGTGCTATTGATGTAGTCAATGTTAACAATGCTATGTCATTGAAGAATGTGTTGATGTTAAAGTCTGGGTGGATAGTTACAGTTGAAACAGATAAGCGAGTTCCTAATTGGCTTGGGGTGTATACGCCCATGTATACACCGATCATAGCCGGCGTGGCTCTGCAACATATTTTGCAAAAAAAACGATTCTAAGATTGCACTCGGGTTACCTGTTTCCGACCACTTTATGAGCTGCCGTTAGTACTGTATTTGCATTAATTAACACACCGCTTCCTGCGTATCCTGTTTGGTTTACCAAGTACGCTTGCCATGGCCATGCTCCCTGTGTTGCAAATCCATCGTTAGGTGAAACATTAGTGACACTTCTTTTACCACATGTGCTTGCAGTGGGTGTTGGTGATGGTGTTGGTATCGTTAATAAGCAAGGAACTTGTCCCGGCGGACAGGGATTTGTACCTCCCTGGAAAGATAATCCGATAAAAAATTGCAAACGCTCGACTCATTCGGCAACGGTACCATGTACCGTCAGGTGATTTTGTTATTGCCATAAACATTTGACAATAGATTAAATATATCACTTTGCATTGTTGATCACTACGTGTAAGATTATTTAGAAAATATGGGTTACTATTATGACCTAAGTACATATAATAATTTTCTTTATTCATTAGAAGCTACATATCGCCTTCACACGTTTTGTATAAGCAAAGGATTATGTAAAATTTTTATTAAATCCTAAGCGATTATCTGTAGGGGATAACAAATCCCGCAATATCATTTCCAGATATCTCGAACTACAGTTGGTTTTCAAGAGAATTAAATATTAGATTTTGCTGTAATAATGAGGGTCGTTTGGGAAGCCCCCGTTTCGTAAGGTTAAAATGATCAAAGCGCTGTTTAGTGGTGATAGGTGGAAACTACATTTTTGTGGAAAATATCATGCATGTGCATTCGTGTGAATGAGATCTAATATACAAGGTGAAAAAATTAGAGTGTTTTTTCCAATAAATTCTAACATGGGTCGAATTGTAAAGAAAGTTTCTTGAGAAGTGGAATTAACAACCGTCTTTTGTACGTCTTTTGGTTTTCATGCAGTATTGTTGTCATAATAGGTTACGGAATTTGTAGGCTGCAGTGAGTTGAAGATACAGGAGTAGTAGAGAAAATTGCCACATAAAGTTTCTTAACGGCGTTAGTGAACAAAAGGGGATTGAACTTTGTTTGTGGAATTGTGGATTATATTCTCAAAATCCGAAACATCAGACATGGATGGAAGAATCTCTCAAATCACACTATTTGATTTATCGAAAGCCTTCGATTGTGTCCCGCATGATCTCCTTGTGGCGAAATTGGAGTATTACGGATTAAGTGGCACCTCGCTAAAGCTCTTTAAGTCATATCTCGAAGAACGACAGAATAGCGTGTGTATTAAAGGCGTCTATTCAAACTGCAGTACAATAAAGGCGGGGGTGCCGCAGGGCTCAGTGCTTGGGCCAATCTTGTTCATCACCTTCATTAATGACTTCTACTACACCATGTTACCTAATACTTGCGTTTTATTTGCCGATGACACAACATTGCTATCATCGGCTCATAAAAGCAGTGAACTGCAACATAAAGCCTACGAATGTGAGAAATTGGCCGAAAACTGGTTCACCAATAATCGCCTCATATTAAATAGTAATAAGACCCAACAGTTAATTGTAACCTCTAACACTTCATTACTGAAGAGTGACAATGTAACGCTACTTGGAATTAAAATTGACGAGTCTCTAAGTTGGTCAGCTCATGTTGAATCTCTTACCAAGAAGCTTTCATCTACCATTTTTCTCATTAGAAATCTAAAACGCATTGTCAGCCCTCATTTACTTAAGATGGCATATTTTTCCCTATTTCACTCACAAATAAGCTATGCTGTACAGGTCTGGGGGAACTCTGCTCATGCTACGAAAATTTTTCGCCTACAAAAAAGGGTGGTTCGCATTATAGCTTGCAAACCGTGTAGAGCGCACTGCCGTCCACTGTTTATTTCATTATCAGTGCTGTCATTGCCTTCTCTATATATTCTGGCTTCTTTGGTGGACATTCATTCGACTGTTGAATCCTACGAGCTAACTTCTGACATTCACGACTACAACACCAGAGCCAGAGGGACGTTGCGATTACCCCGACATCGCATCAAGATATGAATGGAGTGAACTTGAAACTCTACAACCACCTACCTGATAATGTCAAAGCACTCGACAATAGACAATTTAAAATCAAAGTTAAGCGTCTCCTTACCAGTAAAGCGTTATATTCAGTCAATGAATTTTTAAGCACACAAATATCACCGACAGACATATTATAAACTTTGTACGCTTACATGTATGTACCTACCTAAAATACTATTTATGTATATGTTAAATGTAAAGTCATTGTATCGTATAATGTATATTTATGTTGTATGTTACTTTTATATGTTATGCTTGACATGCCACAAACACATCTACCAGATATGTAACGTGGTAAATAATAATAAATGAAAAAAAAAAAAAATAAAAGCTGATCATGCCAACCTGTAGGGGAGAAAAAATTGCAATACGAAAATGTAACTTCTTTTCAAAAAAGTTCCTGAAATGCTCAACGGTGCCTCCGTTTTAATCAACGTCGTACTTTCGAGATCCCAATAGCCACCCTCGAATTTGGGACACCCTGTACAGTGGTGCCTTATTTTCTGGTTGTTCATTGCTCATCAACTAGCTTCCCTTCCAAATCCCATGTTAAATATTAGTGGATAAAACTTGGTTCCTCTTTGGAGAGTTACATGATTGATACAAGTTCAATAGAAACTATGACATAGAGTGAGTATTCCTAACCTACTTGTAATATACAAATATACATTTACAAATTCTAGATTGCGGTCGCATTCAAAAACCATGTGTCAAAAACATTTTTTTAACCTCAAAATGTGAAATATTTTCAAATGGAAGTGTTTTAATTTCCATTTCTATATTTCAAACGGTTTGGGCGTCAGAGCTTTGGTTTCATTTTAATAGCGACCTTGTATCGTGTCACGGTGATTGTGGTCGCACTCTTCCGAAACGGCTCCACTGATTTTTATGAATGTTGTTTGTATATTGAGTAGGTCCAAGTATATTTCATACCGCTAGGTGATTATATAGTTCGCCGGGTGTGAGAGTCGAACGTAGGTATGTCTCATCCAAAAAATCATTTGACTGATTACAAGCGAAGTAAAGCAGCACAGCCGGCGGAACCGAGTGTATATCCCATCCAAAAAAGAGATTTCCTAAAGGTGCTACGAAGTTCGCGGGGTCTGCTAATTAAACAATATAACAGTACACAATACACCTCCAATTGGAGAAATTGTGGAAAGGTCGCAGAAATCAGTCAAAGATTTTAACATTGAACTTCGACTTAGCCGCACTCTAGCTTTTGCCCTCTGTCTTAGTTCAGTTTTTCCCGTTTTCCGGAGTGGAACTAGTTTTATCCTTCGTGATACTCTAATGAAAGGTCTCAACGAAAGGAATTAATTTCTACCAACCTCCTCGACCTCTTATCGTGATCGGGTATATTCCCTTATACCTCAAGCACGGATTGTCGGAAGAGGGTACTCACAAAGGGCGATTGAGAGACGTCTGCAAGAAATATATCCATTGGTGATGTCAAAACAAAAGCTATTTCGCTTAAAAAAATGCGCTTTATCTGCACAAGAGTTGTGCATAATTTATACTTGTTTCCATTTTCACTGTATCATAATCCCCGGTGATTGGACTAATACGTATACCCAAAACATGATAAAGCATATGAATCATGTTAAATAAACTGTTCTCTAATCTCAGCTATTTAGGCGACAGCAATGGATTATTTGTCGATTCATCCTATAGATCAAAAGCAGGGAACTCCAAACATTAAAATACAAGTACAAACTAATATCCCAAATAACAGGCGCCATTGCATCTTGCTAATAAAATGAGCGTTATGGTCATAGCTTTTTATTTACTGAAAAGGGTGCACATAATGTGGTACTGGTGTACTGCTCTTATTTGGTAATTAACAGTAATTAATTCTAATACAGAGTAACGTAATGTACGTACTTAAAATTTATAAAAAAGAATGCAATTGCTAAGTAATTTAGTTTAGTAGCGCATGGTGAGAAATGGGGTTAAATGCACTGTAATATCTTCTCTGAAAACATTCAATTCATTGTGAATAAAAATGCAACATGATAGTTATTATTATTACGATAATACTGTTTTTCCTGCATACATAATGCACCACATCCTTTTGCTTCACAGAAATTTTTATATTATTATTTAATTTTTGTAGTGCAAGCCTTTGGGAATTTATGAGTTATTTTTATTATTTACAATGGTTGTTCAGATGTGCACCCTGCGAAATATTATGGTCTACTTGTTTCAGATACATTACACTATTTAATTGTAATTTTCATAATTATTACAAATGAAGATTGTACTTACTGGTGTGACAATTCTTATATCTATACCAATGTTGCCAGTGGGGGGACATGTACCGGCAGGTACACAAACATATCCAGGCGGTAACTGACTACCAACTTGAACTACCAACACGGCACTAACCACTAACGGAACTAACATGCTTACTCTAATCGTGCACGTAAATTAATGCAACATTAATTTGATAAAAGTATAAATGTTTATATATAATAAAACTTTTCCACCACCATTATCTAATATTCATAAATTCCCGAAAATAATTATCACTATGACATTGAGTGGAATAGTTACAATTTCACACACTTTACCGAAGAAACCCACCGTAACCGGGAAATTGCATTAAAATTATTTAAATCCATTCATAGTGAAGGTTGCTTAATATAATAAAATATCGATTCGGTCTCTTCTTTTAATTCAGTGAACCAATGCCGGATGTTAATTTATAAGTAATTACAAGGGGTATTTACTCAAGAGGACCTTCCTCATACAATACGGTTCGTAATATTTTAATTGATAATAAATTTTAATATCAAAATATTCCGAAATAGGTTGACAGATCAACGTAATTTTTATGTCTAACACGTTCGTTGTTCCATGAATGATGAACCATCATTAGTCATTTATTGAATAAATAAATCTTGCAATGTGTTTTATGATTTATTGTGGGGTCGATTGACACGCTGTTTCCGGAAGGGAAGCAATTCTGTAACGTAATGCACACAGATTTGTGGTACTACAAAATATCCATTAATGACTTGACATAAATGTTTCTTTCCCATGTACCTAATTGTATTTCAACCACGTTAGATTCCTTCGTCAGTGTCCGTCCATGAATTTTTCATATGAACTGGTATCGAAAATATTGCGTAAGTACGTAGACCTCACAATGATCATTCTTTTAGAATAATAATGTATAACTTACCGTTTACCTTGAGTGAACTAAATACTTGTTTAAAGAAAACGTCCCTTACAGCTGCACCAGGTAACGACCAAATAACAAATAAAATGATCACCCAGACGACTAACCTCTTTAAGCGACGCCTTCTTAACTTTTACAATTACTGTTGGCAACAAGGGATATATCCGCAAGAGTGGAAAGAGGCAATTATAGTGCCTATATTAAAGGAAGGCAAAAATCGAATGGATTGTAAGAGTTATCGGCCTATAAGTTTAACCTGTTGTTTGGGAAAGCTCTTAGAGAAAATGATAAATCAAAGGCTCATTCACCTGATAGATCCACAATTTATAACAGAGGCGCAAGCAGGATTCCGTAGAGGATATTCCACAATAGATCAGTTAGTCTATTTGGAAAATTATTTACAGGAAGGATACAAAAATCGACATCACACTGTGGGGGTATTCTTTCATATCGAAAAAGCTTTCGACATGACATGGCGTGGTGGTATTTTACTACAACTAGAAAAATGGGGTTTTAAAGGCAGTTTACCCAAAGTCATCTCGTCGTTTCTGTCTAATCGCACTTTTCGTGTCAAAATCAATGGGAGCTTGTCTCAAGCTTACGTCCTTGAGAATGGAATTCCACAAGGATCAACATTAAGCTGTACCTTGTTCAACATAGCAATTAATATCTTAGTTAATAACATAGGCACAGACGTGAAATGTTGTCTATATGTGGATGACTTGTGTATATTTGGTAGTGGCAAAACTATTGGTCAAATATCAAGAAAAATGCAACCTATTGTTAATCAAGTTTTGGAAAATGCTGAGGAAACAGGATTTACTTTTTCTATCACCAAAACAAAATGTGTCCACTTCTGTAGGCTACGTACAGCACATTACGACCCCCTACTATTCATTAATCAAACCCCAATTCCATGCGTGGATTACGTTAGGTTTCTGGGTGTGACATTGGATAGTAAGCTAACTTGGGAGAAGCACATTAGCGACTTGATATTGAAATGTGATAGAGCCTTAAACCTCGTCAAATGTTTGTGCTCTACAAAATGGGGCGCCGATGTGGCTACTTTAATCAAAATATACAAATCCCTCGTATTATCGAAAATTGATTATGGATGTTTTGTCTACGGTTCAGCTAGATCCTCTCGATTGTTACAGCTTAACAAAATTCAAAATCGTGCTTTGAGACTATGCTTAGGTGCATTCCCTACATCGCCGAGCACCAGCCTCCACATAGAGGCCAACGTCATGCCTCTGCAATATAGAAGAGAGAAATTATTAAACAACTATGTTTGTAACAGAGCATCACATGATAGTCACCGTAATTATAAGATCCTCTTTAAAAATGTTACTGCATACACCGACAGACCCACTATTACTCGTCCACTATCTGTAAGAGCGCAGGAAATTCATCCAGATTTGTTAACAGAAATATGTCATATAATACCCCACAATAAACCGGAAATTCCCCCTTGGAGAAATTTTCCAATAAATGTTGACACTAGTCTGTTGCAGTATGATAAATATGGCACTAACCCTAAATTAATACTTGCACATTTTAATAATATCATCTCTGGAATGAGGCATCACAATATCATATACATGGATGGTTCTAAAACTGAAGATGGCGTAGGATGTGCAATTGTCGTTCAGGGTGAGCACTATAACTGGCGTCTTCCTGATTTATCATCAGTCTTCTATGCGGAACAATATGCCGTATGGCAAGCACTGAAGTACTGTGATATGTCACTGGGTTATCGACACTTCTGCATTGTAACAGACTCCTTGTCCGTTATAAAATCGATAGTAAACTGTGACAATGATACGATAACACAATGGTGTCATTCATCTATCGTATACTTAGAAAATCAAGGAAAGCATATTACCTTACTATGGGTTCCCAGTCATGTGGGCATACAGGGTAATGAGGAAGCTGACAAGGTAGCCCTGGAAGCAACCAAACAGGATGCGATCGATGTACCTGAAATAAAACACAAAGATTTGAAAAATAAATATAATCGTGTAACTGTTTCCAAATGGCAAGATGATTGGGATATGTGTAGGTAATACTCACCTTAAAAACATCAAACCTACCATAGCTAAATGGGATAATCCTGCACTCACTAGAACAGACATATCAAAATTAATTAGATTGAGAATAGGCCATACTGCAGTAACGCATACATACCTACTGAAGGGAGAACCAGTTCCTATATGTGCCAGATGTGGACACGAATTAACGGTAGTACACTTCATTTTTGAATGTGGCCATTTAGAACTTATAAGAAGCAATTACAACATTAGTGATAATTATCGAGATAATTTTATTAATATGTCGCGTATAAATAACCCAATGTCGTACTTGAAGGTAATAGGCATGTACAATAACATTTAAATTAGCAACAAGAGCTAATGACCATAGCTGTCGATGTTCAATACAAAAAAAAAATGTATAATTAATTAGGTTACCTTATGTCATGTATAAATAATTTGTCAATAACAATATTTCGAATGTGTATGATGGATAATTAGCATGAATATTTAACATTTGGCGACGATGGAAACAGCTAAAAAACTACGAGGAACCCCACGTTAATTAATTACACGCACAGATAAATATGTGCGACCTAAGGAAATAATGTCTGACGAGGACTTAAACTCCCGCTCACAAAGTCTACAGGGGACGATCCTAAAGCTTAGAGAAGTACAAGTAAGTTTCAGCCACTACAAAAGTTCAAGAAACGATGGTATAACAGAAAGACAAATGAAAACAAACATTCAACATTATCCCCAGAACTACATGAAATACTAGGTGACCTTACTTCTCCAGAAGAACCAATGAACATGATATTTTCTTCTTTAACAGAAATACTCGAGGGCTACCTAGATCCAAAGCTTAATAATAATAATAATCATAATAATAGCGATTTAATGCCCAACAGAGAAACCTCCAATTATAGGACACACCAAAAAAAGACGTACAGACAAAATAAAATACATCACAAAAAAAATACATCACAAAAAAATATATATCTTAAGGTGTGGACCCTGCAGCACAAATTTATTCATATCACGCAAACAAAAATTTGATGAAACTGCAGCACAGTACGCTGCGGTATTAAAAAAAAGCTCACTACCAACTGTGAATTTAAATTTCAAGGCTGTTTTTGTTTCTTGTCACTTCAATTGATTAGAGGCCTATGGTGACGTTCGGACAAAAATTCTTCAAGACAGAATGGCGCATAACCTCAAGTGTCTCACATAAATAGGAACCACCATAGAAATGGGTAAAGCGGATAACGCACTCGTGGCCACAAACGGTCAGCCCGGTAGCAACAATAATAATAATAATAATAATAATAATAATTCTTTAAGTCCGCTCTGGTTTTGTCTTGCTCTTAATCCACTTTCATATTTGTTAAACACTACTAACTTTGGGTACAATATTAAACACAACCACGAAATACATCACAACATTACACACCTGTTTTACATGGACGATCTTAAATTATACTCTTCCACATGCATAAAACTAAATCACCTTCTACACATTACCGAAACATTCTCACGTGACATACAAATGGACTTTGGAATCGATAAATGTAAAACACAACACATCACAGCTGGAAAAAGACAACTTTTAGATTATGAGCTAGAACAGGGTAATTTAATAAATTCCATGGACGAGAATGAAACTTATAAGTATCTTGGTTTTCAGCAAAACACACACATTAAACATACGAGTATAAAACAAACACTTATCACACAATACCTACAAAGAGTACGCAGTATACTTAAAACAAAATTACACGGTAGAAATACAATCAAAGCTATTAACACTTATGCCACACCAGTGCTTACATACTCTTTTGGGATTATACGTTGGACAAATACAGATTTAGAACAAATACAGAGAAACACACGTACACTATTAACAAAACACCATATACATCACCCTCACTCCTCTACTATACGACTTTACCTTCCTCGTTCGGAAGGAGGTAGAGGACTTACAGATATAAAAATATTGCACCAAACACAAATACACAATTTGCGGCAATACTTTTATAACAAAACAGATACTTCAGTCCTACACAAAACAGTAACATATGCAGACAAATCTTACACACCACTTAACCTACACGAAACTAATATACTCCCACCTCCATCCAAACTTACATACATCACAAATAACATACAGACATGGAACCAAAAGCCGTTACATGGACGA